TGTCTATCCAGTAGAGTACAGCCATGTATCGAGTCTATCAGGATGAAATTCGGACCTCCACTTCTTCAACTGCCCAAAGAAGAATCCGTTATTTTACCGGATGTTAAGGAAAAAAAAAAAACATGGTAAAAAGAACAATTCACTCGCGTACGTGACGAAAGAGAAAAATATAAAAGTGTCGCGGTTCAACGCGTTCGAAATGTATATTTTTCGTTTTATCCGTATAGCGATCGATGTGGTTGTCGCTGGAAAAAACTCTTGATGAAAGACTCGAAGGTTCAAAGATTCAAACGATACTCATCACTTTGTGAACCATCGAGTTGACACGTACTTCTTCTTTTTCCGTTGAAGCTGCTAGGAACCTGGGGACGTTCTTACCTTTTTCACCGTCGACAGTTTCAACCAGTAAATGGTCCAGATCTGGAAAACTGAAACGATTGGCGTCAACAAATACTAGTTGCGCTTATTGTTTTTCATCAACAAAGCACGGACGTTACGTATTCCCAATCTTGTTGACAAGTACGTACGAAAAACCTTGTTTCATCCCCTCGTAGTTTAATTATTCGGATACAGTTTCATTGTCTGATATCGTGGTGAGGTATTGAAGCTTTCCAGTGACCTCGACAATTTTATTAGACTTGTAATGTGGACACTCGCCTTCCCCAATGCACAAAAAATTGTGCGAAAATTCGTTACCGATCAGACAAATATTGCTACTCTCTTCATCGAACCAAATCTACACTTATTTATATAAATTTTCCGTTTAGTTCGAAAGCATCTTTGTTCGAAGAAGGTACTACGACACCGAAACTACTGTAACAAGCAAGTAACAAAAATCGATAAAATAAACAGTCAAGTAAAGCTTTTCTTCAACGCAAGAGAAGGAGGCACAAAAATATCGGGGTGTACACGCACGAGAAAGGTAACTGTCGATACTACCCCACAGGCTTATTGTCGTCCAACAATAGCACCGTCAACTGCTAACATGAAGCTTGAGGATGAAGCAACTCCACCGGCTTTTGATTATCTCGATGGTGGGCATCTGTATAGTATATGATATATAACGATGGGATGTGCGTCAAGCGGAGTACACAAAGCTGCTGACTATGCGGGCACGTTTGCTTAGCTGGACGTTTACTGTACACATGTATGGACACACGAGACTTGGGCCGCGTGCTCGCTTTTGATGATTGCTCCCATCTCGAGCTTCCGTATGGTCCCGGTGACGAGTCTTTCAAGAGACAACTGGTGTGGGAGGAGGGGTCGTCGTTACCTGCTCATCAATTTCGCGTCATAAATAATACGAGACAACAGTTTCGAGACGTGCGATTAGAGGATGAATTGTTTCACAGAGTGACATCATTGGTTTCATTTTAATACTATTCTTATATTTTGTCATTTTGAGCATACAGTTTTATATTGTTTTGCCTGCGTGGGGTACACCTCGTAAATTTTTTTAAAGGTACTTTTTCATTAGTTTTAACATTTCAACTGTAGTGAAAAGTATTGATTTCTGATGGACAATGAAGAGAAAATTACGAATGACGGTAACATCAGCATGAAATGGATTTTAATGAAGTTGCTGCATCAAGTCGTACAATGGACAGCACCTGTGTGTATACGTGTGCGCTGTGGAGACTCTCGGAGGCGTTAATTCGATCCCCAAGGCTTCGATACATCTGATCCACATCTATGTGTGTATATGAACACACATATATATGGCTTCAGCCGATCGCAGTGTTGTTTCCAGCTCTTGGGCGCACCCGGCACACTTGGCTCGCAAAACTTTGGCAATTAGGCTCCCGATCTCTCGGACAATCTCGGCCCAATGTGGGAGAAGGCCATAAGTATCCGCTGGGAGGTCGTAAAGATCGTCACTCCCGAAGATTGCAGCTGGAGGAGAAAAAGTGGGAGTGGGTGTGGGGAGGAAGTTGGGGGTAATGTACGAGCTCCACTCCTGGAAAATAAAGGGCCTCCCTGGAGTTTCAAAGTCTTATTGAATTCGAGTTAATTTGTAAGACGCCGCGATGTGAATTTTATTTCAACTCGTGTATCGAAGGGAGAGGATATTATTTTCTGGGCGTGGCACCGCTTGGGATTCTGGCTTTCGAGAGGATTGTTTCAGAGAGAAATGAGTGATGATGCAATTTTGGTGCAATGTTTTCCTTCCGCGAAATTAAAAACGTTGCTACATACCAATTTGAAGCCCAGTTTGATGTGACCTTTAAACTTACCGATGAACCACAAATTTAACAAGTGACAGCAATAAATTACTCCTCGCTAAAAAATATACTCATCAATGTTGATAATGAACTAAGCTATATTGATTTGTATAAATCAGAAAAAGCTTATTAATAAAAAAAAAAAAAAATTATCTATGTATAATATCCTATTTTAAAATTAATATTAGTTTCGAGTAAAGTATTTTATTACGCAGTGATGATGTTAGCTATGTAAGTGTAATGACATCACTCTCATTTAAATAAAACTCCTTTTCTGTGATACGTGACAAACGTAATATCCATTATCTGGAGTTGCGAAACAGAAATGATGTATCACTGGCAATAATTACTGTCAATGTATCAATAACATATGAATGAACATAAACGTAATTAAAGTTAACTTACGAGTATTTGATAAACTAATATGTTTCTAGTATATTTTTTGTGAAAAAATAATATAAATTTCATATTAAAAAGACTTACCGAAGTTCTTTTTTTTTTTTTTTAAATTTTATATTGCTGCACCAATTATTAACAAAATGATTCGTATTCCAGTGTGCACATAAAAAGAATCACCTGAACAATACGATGAAAAGAGTGTGCAAAGCACGCCTAATGTGTATAGGAAGAAAAAATTGTGTTTTGAGAGTGTTAATTTTTTTTTCAATTTTTGCTGTAGATCTCATAACATTATAAAACATACATGACTGTGAACGACGTAATTTGAATAAAAAATATTTCGTAAATTTAATAGCAAAAGGTAAGGACAAAAGCGTCAAAAAATCAAATGCAGCAATCACCTAAAACAAAGAATAATGTACAATTGTAACCCCAAAAGTTCGTCATTAAGACACGAGACCATCAACGTGTAAATTATAAAAAAAAAAGATAATTTGCTGCGAATAAAGTTAATATTAGTCCCTTGAAAGCTCTCAGCGATATCTGACACTTCTTAATCATGGAAACGGCGTACAATCTTACGCGTGCACGTACACACCCACCAAGATTTCTATTACTCGGCTCCTCAAACCCACCGAACCGGCAACTCCACCCACATATGCACGGCACTTCAATTTCCTCCGACGAGAGCAAACGTTTAAAGCAAACGGTGAATGTTTACGGACTCTCAAGGGTTTGTGAAAAAAAAAAAAAAAAAAAAAAAATAGGACTCTCTGTCTCGTGTGCAAAGAAAGTGGAACGAGTTGGGGGAGAAAAGGGGGAGCTTTACAGCGGGCACATAATGAGGCTCGAATTAATCTGGCGCACACAGCTTCAAGATCATTAAAAGCACAAATTAATGTTGGCTTAGAACCTGAAACGCGTATAACTTCGGTCATAATGGCGAGTTTTTTAAATACATACTATAATCCATAAGCTCCCGAAAAATCTTGAGATGGAGGAAGTTACTTGAAATTGTACTAAAAGTTTTTGGCAGGTATTTTTTCTTGATTTGGACCAAACTGCAATATCCTTTTTATTTTTAACCAAGAAAAATATATATTATATGTTACATATAGTAATGGCATCAAAAAATCTTAAATAATATTATAAAAATATGAAATTGGTTATTTACATATGTATATTTTAAAAAAAGCATATAAAGGTATAAGGTAACAGCTGTCGTGATGGCTAAATTTTTGGGATAGGTTGGTACCTTTTTTTTCTAAAGATGTTTTCTTATAGATTGCCTTTTAGACAAGAGCTAATAAAATTCCCTTAAAAATGGAATTTGCAACTTAATCAAAAAAAAATCTTGCATTTTCTATAGGCTCACTTTATTTTAAAAACGTTATTTTTATATCTTTAACTAAAATAAGGAAAAGACTGTGATAATTTTCTCCATTCAAAAACTGTGTCTACTATTAAAGAAACAATTTTTTTTCCTGCAATAAAAAGTAAAAGCAACATTTTCCAAAAATCATATATACGTATACTAGAGTGAAGAAAGATATGGTTAATTACAAAGTAATCGGTATTTTCTGTGACTGTCACGTTGTTGAAAAGCGTTTCAAGATAACAGTATAATAATCATTATTATTTCCATTTCGTTGAAACTTCTAGTTGATGATATCATCAGTGTACAGTTAAAATTAAAAAAATAAAATAAAATTGAAATAGCTCAATAAAACTTTCAAAATCTCAAGATAGTTAAAAATGGTTATTGGCGACTTTATTGCTATTTCACGTAGAATTGATTAGTCGACACAACTGCCTCATACAATTTTGCTGAACGTTGCCATAAAACAAAAAAGAAGTGACAAATTGTACACAGCAAATAGAACTATTGCATACAATAATTATTATTGTGTTATTTCCTATTTATTATTCTTATTTCCATGATACGGTTGTACATGTAAGTTATAAGCTCTATGACGACAAGTTGGCTTAAATCGTTAACCAGATAAAATCAAATGTTGCTATTCATGCTGGTTGCAATGTTAAGATTTAAAAAAATTCAAACGCCAATAAAAAATGTCCAGGTAAATTTATACCATCAAACAATATACAAACTGAATTACAAAATAGTACACAATTTCAAATGTACTTTACAGTAAAAATAAGCGAATAATTTTAAATCAAACCCAATTTATAATTCCTCAGCTAACCACTTAATAAAACCAGTATCAATTTTATCCTTTTTTTTTTACAACGAAACATAAATTGCAATCGATTAAAAATATCGTACTGCTGCACGACAAAACGGACTTTACATAGGTTCCATCTCCAGTGACGTGGATGAAAGAACCCATCGATCAAAGAGACCGTATTGTCGGGCGATTAAAGATCGTGGCAGTCGCGTTTGTGCCACAAGAGATCGGAGGACGTGTTGCAAAAGTACTCGCACGCGTCGCAACCGTACGGGTGCCACTCGGCCACGTGGTAGTTGTAACTGCCAATTTCCCCAAAAGACCGGTAACACGCCGTGCAACGATATAAATCACGCTGAATTTCATGACCCTTGGAGTCAGCAAAACCACGTGGGGAACAGTGCCGATTGCGCATGTGATTCTCGAGATAACTGCTTCGGATGAAAGTTTGCGGGCACAGGGTGCAGCGATGATCGTGCTGGGATCCTATGTGCCTCACGAGGCTACTCTTGCGCATGAACGTTTTCGAGCACTCGTCGCAGACATACGCTCTGTACTGGTTGCGCATAAGACCCTTCTGGTCGAAAGATCGCGGACACGCATCGCACTCTTGTGGTTTGGATATGCTACCGTGGATCTTCGCGTGGTCCTCCAGGTGGTGTTTTTGCCGGAAAGACAGCCAACACAGGGAACATCGAAATGGCCTTTCGTCCGTGTGTAACCTCGCGTGGGTCTTGAGATGGTGCTTCTGTCGAAAAGACTGCGAACAAACCGCGCACCGGAAGGGCTTCTCACCCGTGTGGATGCGCATGTGGGTGGTAAGGTTGGACTTTTGGTTGAACGTTTCCGAGCACTCGGCGCACTTGAAGGGCCTCTTGCCCGTGTGGACGCGCACGTGGACCGTGAGGTGGACCCTTTTGTGGAAAGTCCTCGCGCACCACGAACAGCTGAATCCACCCTTATCGCTCGAGTGTTGGGCCATGTGCTCCGTGAGGTGGTGCTTCCTATAGAAGAATTTTGGGCACACGACGCACTGGAAGGGCTTCTTCGCGTGGGTGCGCAGGTGGGCCTTGAGGCAGTCGTTTCGTTTGAACGTCCTGGGGCACTTGGGGCAGTTGAACGGCTCCTCGCCCGTGTGGATCCGCGTGTGAACTGCAAGATTGAATTTTCGGGTGAACATTTGCAAGCACACGGAACACCGGAAGAGGCCCTTGTTCTCGTGTGTCCGCATGTGCGACGTAAATTGGCTGGCATCCGCAAAGGTCTCTTTGCACACGTTGCAACGATGCCACTTTTTCGAGGAACCCGTGCTGATGGCTTCGGCCATGTTTGTCGGCTACAAGAGTCCAGTCGACGGTGGTGGTTCGGTTATTTTTTTTTTTTTTTTTTATTTCTACCGAGAAAGAAAGTCAACGAATGTCACTCACTTTGTTACCTTTGTTTGGAGTTTATGGTTTTTGCCGCGGAAAATGCAATATCACCTAGTGGTCGCAAAATAAATAAAAAAACGAGACATATGTATACAGGGACAACTCAGCTCTTCTATGTGATGCAATTTTTTTTAATCTTAGAAAAAAAAACTTACCATGACTTTTGTACAATCCAAGCACTCATTTTTTTTTTTTTTTTTTTTAGGTTTGAAGGTTGTTTGAGAGTATTTTACAAGTTATCGTTCAAACTTGATGCATATTTGTATGTATAGAAAAACATAAGTATAAATATTCCATCTTTCATAAATATATATTCAAAACAAACTGCTCGCACTCGAATCACAAACTGTACTACCCGAGCTTTTTAATGCTTGGAAAATCGAAGGAGCTGTTGCGATAATACATTATTAAATGTGACGTAGAAAAGTTAAGCGACAGCGATAAGAAATAGTCTAATTAATGACACAATAATTGGTGTTTGATGTGCATATCACATTGGACAGCGTTTGACTGACGCTTGTCGGCCTTTTAAAATATATTTTGCTCTCAGTTTGAATAACTACTTTTTTTCAATGCAGTACGCAATTGGTTATTTTTTGTAGCAGGCATCGATAAACCTCTTTCCTTCTCGTTGTACTTTAACATTTGTACTTTTCTTGATTCGCGCTGTAACGATTCCAAGAGAAAAACTGAAATAATGGAAAATAACAGTAAAAATAATTTTTTTTTAATGCATGCAAAGCACTACGTCTAGTTTAACAGTACATCTAAAAAAAAGTTTTGTCATAATATATTATCAGCAAACGTTCTCTTATCATAAAAAAACGATGAGTCACGTGATGAAGCCTGTTTATTCGTCGTGTGATTGGCTGAGACTGATTAAGCGCGGGTAGATTTGAAAATGAGATTTTGAAAAATCAGTGAAAAGACATTTTAATATGTAAGTTATTAAATATTACAATATTACGTGTTACGACAAAGATGTAATTATTGTATTTTTCTTTAAAAATATAGAAAATAAATGTTTGATTAAATTTTGAGGGTTGGCGTGCGGAGCGCGCAGGAGGCGCAGCCCCCTAGAAAATAAAAATATTGCATACATGTGACGACACTATAGGCGAAACTTTGCTGTAGAATCTTAATTTTAATCTTTCGTGGGCGACACACATTTTTTATACTTCTGTTGTTTAATAAATCTAATGTAAAGCAGTCAAGTCAATCTCGATACTATTTTCAACTCATTTTAGTTTCAGTCAATTTCATTCACGATTGATTCCAATCAAGTACTCACTTGACTAAAGAGTATAAAATTTTAAAGGAATTTTTCAGTTTCAGTGCATATTTCATCAAAAAAATAATAAAAATATTCAATGAAATTCTAACCATTTAAAAATATTAATCATCGTAAAATTTCGTGACATACGTTATGAGAGACCCGCAACACGCTCGTGGCTTACAAAGCATTTTTAAGCGCAAACGTTGAAAAAAAAGTAAAAAGACACGGGAGGATCCTCCTACCCATGCGCTTCTGTTTTTAAACGCTCACGTAATAATATTGCTCATGTAAATTTATTCTTAAATCAACAACTGGACTCGTTCCGAATAACTGTATGGGCGGGTCCTTTGGGCTCGGTTGTGTAGTATATTGCACGTAACCCGTGTCTTTGTTCGCTGCGCTCGGCGCCCAGGCCCGACTCTGTTGATTTAATTATAATTTATTTCCCGTTTATATATACGCTCCTGTGCGACTCTTGCGCTCGTGCAAGCAACAAGGGACGCTGTTTTTTCCCCCGTACAATCATTTTGTGCCCTTTGCTTCGCGAAGAAATAAAAAAATGAAATTTACCAACCCTTGCATACGGACAAAGAGCGTTACTTTATATTTTTGTCGTCACAATTAGTTTAAACATTTTTTTTTAAGAGCTCATATTTTCTTGGAGATTTTCCGCAGTACTGGTTGGTGGTGCGCTATACATCCCTCGTCTTCCAATGAAATATCTTATGATTACTTTTTCCAGTCGTACCACTATTTAAGAGATACGGTTAATTTGTACTCTTCTATTACCAACAAAAACATTAGAGGCAATGAATATCAATCTATCAAGTACTACAGTCGCGTAATCTGTTTTACACTGCGTTATACGTGCGCCACCATGATTTTCGTGAGCATAGTTATATACGGGAATTGAACAAAGTTGCTATCATGGAGCTCGTATGACTACGTGACAGGCAAAAAAACAAAGTTTTGCCAAGTTAAACAAAAAACTCACTGGGTTGATTAATTTATGATTTTTATTTTTCAAACCTTTGCTTTAATATAAAAAAGTTTTTTTTTTTACATATAATTCATAAGCTACCAAAATTCGGGTTATTCATCATTTTGTGTAAAGACAGATTTTTTGTTGTCTACTGAATGAAATTAACTATCAAGTCAAGAAAACGATCCAATAAATTTTTTAACCCAACAAGATAATGAAAAAGAGATTTAATTTGAAACTCTAAATCTATAGGAAGTTCAATATCGATATCAATTTTGATATCATCGAAGAAAGAACGCATTCAATGCCCAAAGCTCGTAAAAATATCACAAGTAAGTAAAAAAAATTACGCGTGTAAAGCAATAAAGCACGCACGCAAGGTTGTGATCGATCTCCGGCAAAGCCCAGTGAGGACTTGTTTACGCTCCCCTGTGTCCCGGTGCTTTTCATAACATCGACAATCTAATCGACCCTCTTATGCACTCCATGGATACACCCCCTAATCCCAACAATCTAAGCTACTAATCTAAATCTCTTCCCCCCCCCCCATCCAACATCCCTTAATCGAGAGCCCTTACAGCCCTAAATTACTCATGAACGCACGCGTTCCTTGGCTCCCGTAATTTCTCCTTAAGGATCATCCCAACTAGAGCCCGCCGATTATATACTATCCGATTTCTATCGCGCCCGAGCAATAAACTTTCTTCCGAGAACTTTGGCCAAAGCTTCATCGGGGAATGCACACGTAAACTGTTGGCTCTCGTGGGTCTTTTGTGCGGGCATCGATCGGAGTAAAGCCGGAGGCGCGCAAACAAATGATTCGATCTACCTGTTTGCCTACTTTTTTTTTTTTTTTTTTTTATCCGGCTGTTCATCCGCACGTAATCGAGGAAGGTTGGAAAGTTTGGACGACAGTATGCTATCTTTTTTCACGCATATAAATCCATCATGGGAGAGTTCTATCGTCACTGGACATCGATGACACGCTCATTTTGTTTTCCTCACAAGCTCTGCACCTATTGACTTTGAGTAAGCAATAAAAACGTGATTCCTTTTTTTTTTTTTTTTTTTATATGTAGTTCATCCCAGAAAGCTCATTTTTTTACTACGCCACAAATTTTTATACATCCATCATGAGTATGAATTTTTCGTTTCAAGGTGTAATTCTGTACAACTTAATTTTTTTTGTTTAAATGCATCCTCGATCATCCGTAAAAGTTTATATTCCATTGCAAAATGACAAAACCATGTGTAGCTTATTTTGTTTATTTATTTTGTTTTTATAATAATAAGTTGCGAGATGCTCGTACTATATGATTGATTGAATTTGCGAGAGATTATAGTAAGCGTCTTGTTGCAAAGTTGTTTAGCTCGTACCATCGAAAACTAGCTGCCTTTTGAGGTTTATAACACCTCATGGGGGGAGCCTCCGCACTCCTCCTAAAAGATAAACAACGCGATATATATTCCCTCACAAAGGCAGCAAAATCATTCTTCATGGATGGAAAAATATCATCTCTAACGTTGATTTGTTTCGATTTTGGGTAGCTTTCAACGAATTCAATTCACATAGCGCTCCCATTTGATAAAGAGTTTTGAACCTCGCCATAGCTACATACATCATCTGTAAGCACACAAACTCACACGTACACACGGGGGCATGCAATGTCGAGAAATTCCGAACCCATGGTGGCATCAAAATCCCGAAATTAGACTCGAGATTGTTTGTGAAAGCATATACATGAGGGTAGGGTGCGCACGAGAGAGAGAAAGAGAGAAATAGATCCCATTGCAGGTATATACCGTGTGCACACGATGTATACGCGTCTACATCTCATCGAATGGCTGGTGTATAAATCAGGGGTGCTCGAAATCTCCCCCCCCCCGCTGCCAACCGCGTGGACACATTCGGGTGTACGAGCACACACGCATATGCTGGGCGCATGGGTGAACTTTGGGTATTTGCGCCAACGCTCCTCTCCATGCGTTTTCTCTCCCTCTTCCCTTCGTACACCTCCGTGTTTTGATCGACGTGTAAATTGCCACCGATTGCGTACACGTACGGGCGCGTGTGCGTTTCTTGTTTTCCCCCGCGAGTGGTGGTAAAAACACTCCATGGGTACGCGCCTTTTGTGCGACGCGCCGTGGAAATTTTACGCCCTTTTTTCCTTCGTTTGCTTCTTTTCATCCAACGAAATTGCGTATGGGTTCGGAGCTTTTTTGGACAAACAGTTTTCGTTGTTTTCGTTTATTTTCGTTTTGTTTTACCGTTTCGCGGCCATTCTTTCGATTCTTCGCATTTTTATTCACAAATTTGCATTTTTGACAAAAGCGAGAGTTACCTTGACATATCCGCACGACAACTTACACCATCGGGGACTCCCCGCTTTCGTCGCATCATGCGCATACTTAAAAATTATTTTCTACTCTCGAGTTGTTTGAAAAATTACTTATTCGACATTTTTTTAAATACATTTTTGGTGCATTGTAACTTCAGTAGAGTTATAATTTTAATCCACATCAGCTACAACAACCACCCCACAGCGTCCCAGACTACATTGTTAGAGTTATAATATCAACAAACAATGTAACACGAACAGAGCTATCGCCCGGCAGAGAAATTTAAGTGGAAGCCAACC